TGATAACAATCTTGTAATGAGTTGTTGGTGTCGATAGATGAACATCAACCTCAATCACCTAGATTATCAATTGCAGATGTAGAAGAATGAAGAATGGAAGAATTAAGGAGATAGAAGATCGATCAGAGTGAACTGGAGAACAAGGAATATTGATCTAGCAAATATCTTGGTAGAAGAATCGAAGCATATGTTTTCTTGATGAAGTGAAGAAGACGCTAACATTATATCTGACCATCTTAAATTTAACCTAGAGACTGTGGAGTGTGGGTGGGGCCCGAATCTCCTAGACATCAGAGTGTGGGCGAGGCCTGAATCTCCTAGACAGCAGAGTGTGGGCGGGGCCCGAATCTCCTAGTCAGCGGAGTGTGGGCGGAGCTCGAATCTCCATGAGTGTGGGTGGGGCCCATATATCCTAGTTGAACGTTATATGTATGGTATGTGGTAGTTTGGGTAGACTCACTAAGCTTCGTGGTTACAGTTTTCAGTTTTGGTTTCAGGTACTTTAGTTTTCAAAAGAGGAGCTCGGGAAGATTGCAGTGCACACACCATTTGTTTAGCCTGTGATGTTTATACTTTGATACGTTTGACATGTGACTTTGATACATGACTTATGAGTTTTATATGATCAGGATATTTATGGTTTTATTATTGGATTAAAAACGGAATTTTTGGCCTGTATTTTTCGGATGTTTCACTCGTACTGAGGGCTTGATTGCAACGATCCAAAAATCATGACTAAAAATTTTCGTTTGAAAAACATTACTTAAACCAAGATTGTCAATCCATAACCTGAATCATAACATAAAATCAGAGTGTTAATTCAAACCATATTCTTATCATTAGAGTAAAACATCCCAGGCTGACTAACTATGGTGTGTGCCATGTGATCATCCTGAGCTCTTCTCTCCGCTACCGGAAGTACCTGAAACCAAAACTGAAACCTATAAGCACGAAGCTTAGTGAGCTCCCCCAAACTACCACATACCATACAATAACATATAAAACACATACTGGGCCTTGACTACTACATCGGACCGAAGTCCAGACTAACTGGGGCCTTGCCCCCTGCATCGGACTGAAATCCGGACCAACTTGCCCCTTGCCCCCTGCATCAGACCGAAGTCCGGACTAACTGAGTCCTTGCCCCATGCATCGGACCGAAATCCGAACTAACTGGGGCCTTGCCCCTGCATCGGACCGAGGTCCAGACTAACTGGGGCCTTGCCCCCTGCATCGGACCGAAATCCAGACTAACTTGGGCCTTGCACACTGCATCGGACCGAAGTTCGGACTAACTGGGGCCTTGCCCCCAGCATCAGACCGAAGTCCGGGCTAACTAAACATAGCATAACATGATCATAGCATATAACATAAGCACATATACAGCATACTGCATCGGACCGAGGTCCGGACTAACTATCACATAAACTTGCCTGAATCACAAAGACACCAAGCATATTGTACTACTACATCGAACCAAAGTCCGGAACTATTGCTAACTAAACGGCCCGATATTTTGACCGTAGACCCGTTCCTACTGGAAGGAAAACTCACCTGAACTGCTGAACTCGACTGATAACCCTCTGGCTGCTAACCAAAAACTCTCTGAATGCTGCTCCTGTAGCTCCCTGAGATACCAATACCAATAATAACACTTAGCCTAAATTGTCCTCCCGAGATCAACTAAGTCGACTATGGTCAAAGCCCTGGTCAAAGTCAGACTTCCAGTTGACCCGACTCGCCAAGTTGTTCTACCAACTTGCCGAGTCCATGCTCTTCTATCTCAAAGCAACCCGGACTCCACTCGTCAAGTTTGGAAATAACTCGACGGGTTCTCCTTCAACAAACACTTCTGGACCATCTTCAACCGACTCGCCGAGTTCATCATCATAGCATGAATGTCTAGGCTTTGACTCGCCGAGTTGTATTAACAACTCTCGAGTTCATCTTCATAACTAAGAAGATTGTCTTGGACTCGCCGAGTTCCTCATTGAACTCGTCGAGTGCTATGATCTTGATGATTATTATGGGTCCAGACTGACTGAATCCTCACTAACCCCACTCACCGATCCGACTCATAAACAGAAGGGTTTGGTTTTACGACCCGACTCGCCGATTCCATGAACTGATTCGCCAAGTCCTCCTTGTAACATCTCTATTCTATCGATTATAGTCCATTCTAACACCTCCAACTGATAGATCTGGACTCCAATTGCTAACATTGCACATAAAGTTGCTAAATTTACGTGCATGCAAGGTGTTATGAAGCTAGAACACTAAATCCAAGCTAATATGAAGGTCTAGGTTATGGAATGAGGCTATGGTTAGGTAAAGCTACCCCCCCCCCCCCCCCCCGAGATCCTCAAGCTCAGAAATGCTCAGATCTCAAGTCCTTTTCGTCCTCAAGGCTCAAAGTTTGGATTGCCCTTGGAAATGGCCCAAATGTGACAAAATCTATGCTAGAAAGGGATCTAAATGATTAATAGTCAAGACATAAGCTTTTTACCTCCAAATGGTCTGAAATGCTATACCAACTCTGGATCTATATCTCCTTCTTTCACCATCAAGGTCCTTCCTTCTCCAAGCTTCAATTCACTCACAAGGTAAGAAACTAGCTCAAGAATGAGGTTAGGTGGCTAGGGTTTTTGGTTCTGGACTATATGGGCCGCAAATGAACCCTAGGGAAGAGAATGAGATGCTTATATAGTCCGACTCCGATCATGACTCTTTTTTCGATAAGGACTAATAAGAACACTTTAAAAAATTGAAAAAAAATTAAAAAAATATACAAATCATAAAATCGAGCATAGTAGTATATATTGGAGAGAAAAAATTAGAAAAGCATATTGGATCATTAAAATTGAATCATAAATGATCCATGCTTCAATTTTAATGATCCAAAAAAAAAATTCAATTTTTTCTCTAATATAGTATCATGCTCGATTTTATAATTTGTATTTTTTTTAATTCAATTTTTTTAAGGTGTCTTCACCGATAAAAGAGTCCTCATATGATCCTAATTATATATATATATATATATATATATATATATATATATATATATATATATATATAAAGTTTCATTGAGATCACTAATATTTTTAGGATCAATATGATCACTTTTTCAACTTTCATTTTAGAGCTTATCTTATATTGAAAAAAATAAATAAAAATATGTAAATTCATTATTTTTCAACCTCTTCCATATTGGTATTCAAAAAAAAAATTATGAAAAATGTGCATATTTGTACACAATATGCACATTTTGTGTAAAAAATTGTATTTTTTTTAAATATTTTTTAACGATTCAACTTCTATATCAACATCCTAGTCAATTAAAATGTTTTTAGAAAAAAAAAAACAAAACAAAACAAATCTAAAAAAATTATAAAAAAAATGTGCATATATATGCACAAACTCAAATGTGCATGATTTTCCAACATTGGTTTTAGAACTTTTCTTATATCGGTAAAAAAATAACTAAAAATATATAAATACATCATTTATTAACCTTTTTCCATATTGGTATTCAGAAAAAAAAATTACGTAAAATATGCACATATACACAAAATGAATATATATATATATATATATATATATATATATATATATATATATATATACCTCTACATATATGCACATTAATGTACACACGCATAACATCTTAATAAGTTATGACATTGCTATAAAAAATGATTTTTTGAAAAAAAGAAATTCAAAACAAATGTTTTTTCTACTTCTGTGCATATGATGATGCACATTTTACGTTGTATAAAAAATTGAATATAAGTATGAGTAGAGCTTTAAAAAATATGAATTTACATATTTTTAGTTATTTTTTTCGATAGATAATAAACTCTAAAAAATGTTTTAATAATTAATGTGCATGTGGTACAGATGTTACAATTTTTTTTTCAAATGTCAATATAAAAAAAGGTTAAAAAAATGAATTTACATTTTTTAATTAATTTTTTTCAATATAAGATAAACTTTAAAATGAGGGTTGAAAAGGTGATCATTCGGTCCTAAACAAGTTAGTAATCCTAATGGATCCAACCCATATATATATATATATATATATATATATATATATATATATATATATATATATATATATATTACATTTAAAAGAAAAATAGATATATTTAATTATTAATAGTATTCGTAATATTTCGTATCATTGTATTTTTTCTGTATTCATATATGGCTAGTCTACGTTTGCACTGCCCTAATCAAAAAAGAAAAACAAATGTCGTCATTTTTAGATATTCACGAGTCATGAACGAAGAACGCATCCACTTTGTATGAATGTTCTTATTTTTCAATTTTATTTGGATGTTAATAACTTTATGAATTTATGTTGAAAACCTCTTTTTTTATATTAATTACTTTAATCAGCATATGATTTTATGTTGAAAAAATCTTATTTTTTAAAATGCATTGTTTTTTTATTAAACGAGTTATATGAGTTGGGTTCGATCCACTAACTTGTGAACCCGTGAATCTATATATTTAAACGGGTTATATGAGTTGGATTGGATTGTGGTTTCTAGCCTACCAACCTATGACCCACCAACCCGTCAACTCATAGATTATACAAGTTATGTTGAGTTTATGTTTTCTGATCCACCAACCTGTCAACTCGAACTCAACCCGATTGTTAGACATAATGGGGTGTTTGGATAAATTAGTTTATAGTTTAATAGCTTATTGCGGTAGGGTAGGAATAAATTGTTTTTGCAAAAATATTTATGGTAGGAATAATCAATAAACAATAAGGAATAGGGAATGTTTATTAAAATCAACTTATTTAGTTTATTTCTATCATAATAAGCTGATTTTTAAAGATTTCTATCCAAACATTTAAACTTATATTATTGTGCTGGGAATAAAAAATAAACTATAAGATTTTTTTGCCCTCTAACTATCGGTGTTTGTTTCTGTTAAATAACAATAGTTTGGCTTATTGTTAGAAATATTTTAAATTACAAGGGTCTAAACTGTAATATTTCTTCCATGGTCATCTTGCACTCAATCAAACACCGTTATTAACCGTTGATCAATCTTAGATCACATCTTGACCGTTAATTGTATCTTGTCCACATACCAACGCGTTTCTCTAGAACACCACAAAGACACGTTGCGAGCTCGGTATTCATACGCATCCACAAAAAGAAACTCGAATTCTTTAATTCTTGCTTTTGACTATTAATTCCCCAAAATTTCATCTTTCTTTCGTATAAATTGAAGCCTTTTCTGTTGTCTCAAATCACACAAGTTTTCTTCGATTTCTTGCACAATCAGTTCAGAAAGATTACAAATTTTGTCTGTATCAATTATACGATGGCCTCTCAAACCAAGAAATCAGTTTATGCCTTCACTGTAAAGGTTAGATGATTTCTAATTTTTTTCATTTAAGGGTTTTAATTTGGAGCTGGTTTCATTCATCATGTGGCTCTGTTTGTGATTTATATTTTAAAGTAAGGTTTTGTTATATGAGCTTCTTCGAACGATCAGTTTTTTGTTAAATCATACAGAGATGTGATGCGATTATAGAAACTAAATCCATTTGGATCATGGGGTTGAGATTTTTTTGCAACTTGCCTTGATTTCCTGATTATTTATTTTGTGGGGTTTACAAAAATTAACAAAAAACCAATTTGCCTGGCAGTTTTTGCTAAAATTCACGATCGTTACAACTTTTAGGCTACGTGTTCATGTTTTTATCGGTGTATTTGTTTGGTAATTTAAAAAAAAAAAAAAAAAAAAAAAAAAAAAAAAAGGCAATCGTCTTTTGTGTTTCAGTTGTAAGCTATAAGCAAAGAATTGTGATCGCAGCTGTAGTTTTGTGTTTCAAATCTCAAGATGATCATAGGGCATGATGAACAAAAGTAGATGTCATTTTTCTAAACTTGCAAGATTAAGATTATATATGCAGTCGTTAGTGATGATCTTTGCGATCATTATGTCATTTTTAGCAATATGGTTAGTATGGAACTTCTAAAATAGGAACTTCTATGAAGTGATTAAGTTTAAAACAGATATATAAAGAGAGAGTATTTTTTATTGTTTTAGGTAGCATAAGATTATTTCCATGAATGTTGCATGATTGCCGGTGTTAAATTATTTCCTAATCCCTTAATTTATGTTCATTGTTTCAGGACGTTAAAGGACAAGAAGTGGAGCTTAGCAAGTACAAAGGAAAAGTCTCGCTGATTGTTAATGTTGCCTCACAATGGTATGTATCTAAATTAGCTTCTTATATTTACATAATCCAATGAAATCTCACTCTAATGCCAAAAGATTCAACTTTTAGTTTATTTTATCATCAGTACCATAAAGAGTACAACATTTCTCATTAATTTCATTATTTTTTTGGTGCAGTGGCTTTACAAATTCGAATTATCCTGAGTTGACAACTTTGTACCAGAAGTACAAGGATCAAGGTTGGTTTTTGGATTTTTTGTTTGACACATTTAAGGTTTCATATTTTATAATTGGGATTTTATGAGGAGGAATAGATTTTTGGATTCTGACACGTGTTTGTTATTTTACAGGTTTTGAAGTCCTTGCATTTCCATGCAACCAGTTTGGAGGACAAGAACCTGGAAGCAATGAAGAAATCCAGGAGTTTGCTTGCACTCGATTTAAAGCAGAATACCCTGTCTTTAGCAAGGTTGGTTGGTGTTATTATTATTATTTTTTTTTTTACTTAATGCAGAAAGAACAACTTAATAGAGGACTTACAATGGAGTAATGTAACGTAATGTAGGTTAATGTGAATGGGAAAGATGCTGATCCTTTGTACAAGTTTTTGAAATCAAGCAAAGGAGGGTTTCTTGGTGACAGCATTAAATGGAACTTCACAAAGTTTCTAGTCAACAGAGAAGGAGAGGTTGTTAGTCGCTATGCACCCACCACTAGTCCTCTCAGCATAGAGGTAATTGTAAAAACCATGTCTTCTTATATTCTAATCTTTGTCATTGATTTAAAAGCTTCAATGGTATGTTAAAAAGTTTTCTTTAATTTGGTTGTGTTGTGGTTGTTGCAGAAGGATATAAAGAAGCTGCTTAATTAATGTGTTGGCTTAAATGTTGTTTCATGAGAGGTGGTGGTTCTTCGGCCAATATAGCAATAAGTTAGCAATCATCATGGTTATAAATGTTTGTTTGTAATTAAGTTGTTAAACAATTTTTTTTTTCTTTTTTTAAATGTTAATGTGTTGTTAAATTATATGAATCTTTGATTACTATATGTCTATATGATATACGGGCTTGGAGTTTACAAATGGTGTGTATTGTGTACTATCCATCTGTGTGAGAATGGACATGACCGCATGAGGAATGAACATTCCGTTGCAAAAAATTTATATATGTTATGGGAAAAAACAGGCACTTCCTTAAAGCAATTTTGTAACATATGAATCATGTTAGTATTTCACTTTGCAAATATACGGTGTCGTACAATGGTCATTGGTTTACTTTTCAAAAAAGTATTCATTTGTTGAGAGAAAATACTCCAAACACATATAAATGAGTTATAAGATCATTCTTTAGAAATGTCAAATAAAATTGAGAATTCACAAAATTGCAAAGATAGTCCATGTGGTTTTCAAAATTATATATTCTTTGTTCAAAAAAATTGACGGTGTATCACTGGTCTAATTTTAGATATTTTGTGTGATTTTGGTCCTTATAATTAATATTTTTGTGTGTTTTTGATCCATACTCAACCTAAAATAACTAATATGTCCTTTGAATAACTTTTTTTTTATTATTTTTTATTCTTAAAGTTAAACAAAACTCTCTCTCTCTCTCTCTCTCTCTCTCTCCCCCCCCCTCTCTCTCTCTCTCCATACATACTTCACACACATAGATACATTCACTGAAAATCAAAAAATTAAGTAACAATACTTGTAACTTAGAAGTTTGCGATGCCAGATTCGTAGACGAAGGATATGTTAGAAGAAAAACAAAAAACATCATTGATCCTACTGAAAATCAAAAACACACAAAAGTGTATGTTTCTTTTTATAGGTATGAACATACATACATACAAAGGGTTTAAAAGGATAATTACACACACAATAATTTCAAATTTGATGGAGAATAGATGATGGGTTACGAGGATGAACACGCAAACACACAAACCATTTTTCATAGATAGAGGGCTTGAATGTTTTCAGAGACAAGGTGCACCAGTGAATTCGGTGTAAACAAATTAAACTGAACTCTCCAATCGCCATCATTGGTGAATCAGAAAATGCCATCACCTCCTTTAGATCATGAAACTTGATTTCTCTAGTCTACATTTCCTCTTTCTTGCCTCCCAACAGAGGATGTCGATCATTGAAGGTTTTATAGGCGTAGGTGAAGAAGACGATGGCAAGGGATGTTTTGTTCAGCTCCTCCTAGTCGATCTTCAATACAAATATCCATTGTGTGTGTGAGTGTGTATGTGTGTGTGTGTGTGTATATATATATATATATATGTGTGTGTGTATGTGTGTGTATGTATCTGTGTGTGTGTAAGAGAGAGAGAGAGAGAGAGAGATGAGTTGGTAGGTGGGTCATTTTTTTAGTTTTAAATAACTAAAAATATTAAGCATAAATAATAAAATAATAGCAAAAAAAATATAAGGGGTATAATGGTCTTTTTAAGTTGATAGGGATCAAAGCCAATAAAAATATCTAATTTTGGACCAATGGTTGCACCAATATTTTGTTTTGGACCAAACACACATAAGTTTATCAATGGATAATGATTTAAAAGGGTAATATATTCTTCGATTTGTACACATTTGGTCACTGAGTTTATTTTTTGTTCGCATTTACCCTTTTAACTTGTTAAACTGTACACATTCAGTCCTTATGACCAGTTACTTCAGGTTAACCGGTAAAAATGTCTTAATAGGGTAATATATTTCTCATTTTATACACATTTAATCCTTAATATTTTTGTACACATTTAGTCCTTAACTTTTTTTTTTTTTTTTTTTTTTGCAAAATAATTTATTTTTGTTTTTGTACTTACTAAATACTTATGAATGTTTTCTTTAAGTTTTTATCACATCTTACATGAAACAATCATTAACGATGTGTTTTAGGCTTTTGATGTTTATGTTCATCGCGATCTCGACTATTTTGTTGCTTAGGTTATGTGTTTTGAACGTCATAACTTTTTCATACTATTTCGGATTTTAACGATCTTTATATCTATGCGTTTGTATTTTAGTCTACCACAACTTTCGTTTAGATTACTCTCGTTAAAAAGTAATATATTTTTTAATTACGATCTTTATATCCATACGTTTTTTATGAATGCATGTATGGATTTTTTTTATAAAATCGTAAGTAAAAAAATATTATATTTTAACGGGAGTAATCTTAACCTAAGTCAAACCACAAGACCTATGTAACAAAACAGTCGAGACCACGATGGACATAACCATCAGCAACCCCAAATACCTCATCAATCAGGGATGGATACAGGATTTGGTAGTAGGTGTTGCCGGTAAGTAGAAAAAAGGAAAAAATCGAAAATTTTACACTGCATACAGAAAAAACAGTGGTTGTTGGTGCCACTGCGGGCATCCAAAGAGAACCGTCACTGTCATCGATGATAGTCCCATGTTAGATGTTCTGAGAAAAATCTTAAATAAATCATTCATAAGTACTGAATTGATACAAAAACAAAAAATAACTTATTTTGAAAAAAATATATATTAAAGACTAAATGTGTACAAAAATATTAAGGACTAAATGTGTACAAAAAATATTAAAGATTAAATGTGTACAAAATGAGAAATATATTATCCTAAGGACCGGATATATACAGTTTAACAAGTTGAAGAGGTAAATATAAAAAATTATCATAAAAGTCATTATCCCATTTATCAACCAGACCATTTTTGCAATTTTGTCTTTGAGAATTATCATAAAAGTCATAAAGAATGCCATACAAGTAAAATATGATTAACAATGCATTAGACATGAAAAACAGGTATGAAATGATGATGGAGATGCTCTCTCTCACCTTTAATATCATTTTCTCGTGAAGATGTATCTTTTTTCAAAGTTTTGGCGGATATATAAAAGTGAAAGATACGTGTAGAGACTCTATAGACACTTGTCAAGAACGTCACTTATTTGCAACTTCAACACGTGAAGCCTACTTCTTCCCATGCATGATTCGATCTAGCTCCATTATTGTATTGATGCCCATATATATAAACCATCTTCTCCACCCAAACCACATACATTACAGACACACATAGTTCAATTCTACATAGCATAGATAACCATGGAGAAAATCAACATCAATGGCGTCTTCCTGGTCCTCCTACTCCTCTTGGTTACATGTTAGTTTCTCTATCTCCTTGCTTGCTTACTTATTTACATGGACATAACTTTCGATCTGTTTCTTTTTTCCTGTTCTATTATATATATATATATATATATATATATATATATATATATATATATATATATATATATATATATATATATATATATATATATATATATAATCAAAGTGCTGAATGTACAGATGAAGAAGAAAGAGGTGGGAGTGGGACGATGATGGTGGCAGAGGGGAGGACCTGCGAGTCGCAGAGCCATGGATTTAAAGGGCGGTGTGTCAGCAACAATAACTGTGGTCTCGTTTGCAAAAACGAAGGGTTTTCCGGTGGGTGGTGTCGTGGTCTTCGTGGAATGTGCTTTTGCACTAAAGATTGTTAGCTCTGCCTCTGGGGAATGTAAATAATATTAATATTAATATTAATATTAATAATAACTTAGTATGCTTACTTGTGGAATGTGGAATGTGGTTACAGAATATGATAAAATCTATTTTCATAAATTTATGTTATGGTATTCAAAACACTGTAATGACTAATGAGGTTGGTAATCACTACAAATGACCAAAACAGTAAGGTATATCATGCATATTTTTTCCATAGGTATCATAAATTATAAAAAAAAATATCTTACAATACCCTTATAATATAGAGTGATTTTACAAGCTTTGTGAATTCTTTTCTTTATAAAGTAATTTATATTCTGCGTTTTTTTTCAAAAGTTTTTTTTTTTATGAAAGTTATTGTACTAAGGATCATCTATAAAGCAGTATATAAAGCTATACAGTATGTATGTGAGCTAACCTTGTGACTTATGAACAAGAGTAAGAACCTTGTTGGGAGACCATCTATTGAATACAAATTTTATAAAGTTCAATGGATTATCAAATAATCGTTATATCACCCATTAAATACATATTCGACTTTACTTTTGCTACCCGCAATTCATTAAACACATTCAATCCTAATGATCATCTTATTCTCTCTATTGAACCTTAGTAAAGAGTTGAATAATCATTGAACTCTTTCATCCAACTCTACTCCATTTCATTATCTACACTCAGTTTAACATTCATTTAATCCTAGCCACCACCTTATTCAACTTATATATTATTTGCATTGTGGATGACTTGAGTAGAGTAAGGAGCTTCATGATCTCTCTCTCTCTCTCTCTCTCTCTCTCTCTCTCTCAAATTTTATTTTATTTATTTATATAAAAGTGGTGATCCAAATGGTGGTTATTTCTTAAGGTGAATAAGCATGCTGTGGAGTATATCTCAAAAAAATTATAGTTAAGCATACAACTAAAGAAGAAATTACTCAATCCACTGATTCGTGAAGAAAAAACCTCCTGGTGTTTTTCATTTTTAATTGTAATTTCTTTAAATCAGATTATAATCATATGTAAGTTTGTTTCACTGTTAAATTGTTTCAACTTGATTGTAACATATTTTATTTCATTTAATGTTATTGTTCAATTTTAATTTATTATACAACTCATTTTTCATATATTTATATTGAGATTGTAGATATATGTTTTATCTTTTAAATCTGTTAAAAGCCTCATTATATATGGGATTTTGGTGTTTGACGGTGATAATGTTAATTTTATGTTATGCATGCTATTAAATATTTGACATAATTTTTTTTACCATAATACCAATGAATATTAAACATAAACGGAATATTATATTTGACCCCAGAATAACATCATTCCGAAGAGAAATGAAATAAACCCTGACACAAGTCGAAAACGTATAAAAAACAATCAATCTGTAGTAAATCACCATGAATGCAGATGTACAGAGAGAATCTAAAAGCTAGAAATTAAAAAATTTCCATCAAATTGACCAATGTTTGTCAATGACTACTGACTGACTGGTCACAAATAGGCTAACAATTGAAGATGTAGAAGATTACTTCCGACTCGAAAATAATAAAGTTCCTTCCTGAAGCTAGGCCTAGTTCAAAATAAAATAAAAATAGAAAAAACTCTCAGACTTTGTTGATTACAGATACGTTAGCCCACAATCCCATCTATAATCTACACATAAACGAAGACCATTA